TGGAATCAATCCTCATTGGGATCAGAAAATACTGTCTGTTTGTGCAATTTCTGTTTCTCTGTGCTAGGATGAGCAAAAAATAATAATAGCCATTTTCAAAGTCACAACTCTTTTTAAAAAGAGTGACTGTTTTAAAATGCAACGTGAACTAAGTAGAATTATCTTGTGTTCGGTCTTGGTTTGGCACATATATTTCATCCCGCTCCACTCCCCCACCATCTAGCACGATGTAACGATTTATAATCCCAAATTTAGTAAGATAATAAATAAAGACTCATGGGATATTAAGTAAAAGCCTGAAATGACAAATTGCCAGGGAAAGCGGCTGCTTGACAACTGAAAATATGTATTTTGTTTCTTAAGAAGCCCAATTATGTTAATAACCCCCAGAGGATGAAAACTTGAAGTGTAACACATAACAGATGGAGCACTCAATGATAAGCTAATCTTACCTGGAAAATTGGAATCAAAGAAACTTTTGCATATTTATGGATATGGCATTTTAAGTGTAGCGTTTAGTGGGGAATATATAGAAAATCAATATGTCCTTTTAAAAAATCTGTGAATTCATCACATTTAACTCAAGGTGACTATTAACATTCTTTTGACACCCATTATATCTTCCATCAGTAATTCTTTTCTTTAAGATCTTCTCTTTCAACTTTGTTGCCTGTCTTAAAGCATCTGGGTCTTTTTTAATGGTTCTACCTTTTTCCAATACTTTGAAAAGTTGCCTTTTTTGCACTATGACTATCCAGAGTTCCCCCAACCCGCAAAGCCATGTTGGCCAAAAGTTTGTACATTAAATCCAAAAAAGGTAAATTTCCCAAGTGTGTTTTTTTTTTCCATGCTGGTCCTTGTGTTTGAAACTTCCACCCAGAAAAAGGGGGTTCTTTTTTCTCTTATTTGGTATTTGTTATGTTATTTTTAATTATATTTATTATGTTATTTGTTATCTCTTATTAGTTAAGTCTGTTCCACGTCAAAAGAATTCTTTTCAGAAGGAACTCCAAATGACAGGACAAATTCTTGGGTCACAAAACTCAGGGACATCTCAAACAGAGTTGCCGAATGAAACGCTTCGCACCAGAGGTGCTTTGGATTTTGGATTTTGTTGGATTTTGGAACACCTGTATTTGCATATACATATATTTACATATGCTTATTTTCTCTCCTCCCTGGGTCAGAAATAGATGTGTTCAAAACAAGAAGGGAAAGGATTGCAGTAACACTAACTCTTTGAACCTTATCCCTTTCCCTCAAAAATGGAAAAAGGCCACCCCTAAAGACAAGAAACAACTCAGCTATGGCAAATACAATGAAAACCAATTCAATGTTTGCAGCTTTGACTTTTGCAGATTTGATTATTCACTGATTTTATTAACATGTTCTCTCTAGGAATATCTAGGTCAGGGACTGGCAACCTACGGCCCGCGGGCCGGTTAAGGCCCAGGTCCC